TCTGGGAACCGATGACATGTGTCAACCAAGTCAGCGAGTCTGAACACCCGATCCCGTTAGTCGCCTCTTACGACAAGCATGGGTTGAAGATCAATTCTAACCCGGATCTTCGCGGGTCCCCTACAGAATAGATCCAGTGCCTTATTGGCTGCATGGGAGGGCAGTGTCAAGCTGTAATGCGGCTGTGGGTTTACACACAAAGTTCTGTTGTGACTTTGACTCCTGTCGTGTCACCACCTGTATGTTCAGGGTTGGGCCTGAACGGCCACCATAGTATAACTTTAACTTTCTCACAAAGGGTCGGATCCACTGTTATCAGATGACATGCCTTCCTAGTAGACCTCTGTGCTACTTGTGACACGTCCTGTTACTTATGTCATATAATATTTTTGCAAAACTCCATGGTCCTTAACAAATGTTGAACAGGATATCATTGACTTCTTTTGGACATTTTAGAAGTTAAGGTGATTTAGAATCACTTGCTTGACAACGACATTATAATTTATGTAGAAACGTCGCCTTTCACAGAATAATTTAAAGAAGTTGCACTTATATAAAATTATCATCATTCGTCAGTATACTAGTATCATTGGTTGTGGCATATTCAAGGTACTCACCCAGCGTGTACGGATTATACATGTCGCATAAACCTCAACTAGTACAGTATCCCCACTATATTGTTGGGTGGCAATACTGTAATTTCCTGACAGAAATATTTAGACGATGCAACAACACTCCGTGAATCATAGAAATACTGAAAAAAAGGTTGTGAGGGTAGTTTTTGATACCTTGAGGAAAATCACATTGTTTGATTGTATTAGAAAAGCAGACTCCTCAATCTGCTTGAAAATACCTGTAGTCAAGTCAAAAGTCAAAAGATGTATGAAAGGCCTCCGACCCATATTCATGAGAGTTACAGTGATAAAGGAATATTTTGGATATTTACATATATATTTAAGGGTATACAATTCGTTTTATAAGAAGATCTCTTTTAGCTAATGCATGCTTTATATACAAAGACAATTGAACAAGAATATTTTCATTATTAGTTTGTATTAGCGCCATCATCTGTCATCAAAGTGGAAGCGTTACAAATTTTAATTGCTGGTTCATTGATTTCTGAATTGTTTCTTGTTATTTTGCTTTTGTTTGTTTGATGTTGATTACTTCTCTATTAGGCGTGCGTGCGTGAGTCTGTGTGCACTTATTTTTTCCAGTGAATGAAATGAATGCGAAGCGCACATAAAATCTTCATTATGTCCCGCTCTTTATTCTCCGTTCGCCTCGTTAATATGTACGGTATTTATATGATCATATTTATAGATATACAGATGTGTCAGTATGGTATTAAGTTGTTACATCAGACTCAGCAGCTTTCAGAATCGATTACTTGAGCAAATTATTGAAAGTTCCTCCACTCCATAATTCACAACGGACAGATAATGTTTAACGCCAATAACCTGCATCGTAATAATTGTTCGATATTTTAACACGGGGATTCAAACGTTTCTCATAGAATGTCTTGATGCCTATGGCAGCATTGTAATGTTGACAGTGCCATATGACCATATGATGTAATTTCACTAGTCGCCAGCTCTCCTTGTCATAGTGAAGCCAATGTACATTTCAATGTGTTAGATTCGTTTTAAAACACATTTGGTGATATCTTAAGATGCACTTATGATATCATAAAACGTATTTCTACATCGCTAAACCGAACCTTTGATATCTTAAAGTGATAAGTGAAGATTGTTTTTCATCAGAAATCCGACTAAGTGATAATATTTCCTTTTATGGTATTTTATACTTTATTGTTTATTTTGCGATATCTTAAAACAGTGGTGAACAGGAATCTTTACGCCCAGTTCTCACTATAACAGCACCACTGGATGAGTGGATTAGAAGGATTGTGAGCTGATGTTTTGTTTGTTTGCTGTACAATTCCAGCTATATGGCAACGGTTGGTAAATAATCGAGTCTGGACAAGACAATCCAGTGATCCATCCGCGCAATTTGGATACGAACAATCCTGCAACCGAAACTTAGCAATGAAATGGCCGTTTCCTCCACCACATAGATTATCACAGCATAACAAACATCAGGATAAGCAGGGATGTATGTATTACCAAACATAACTCTATACATAATGGTAAATACTATGAAGAGTACATCTATATGGTACAATCAGTCCCTTGGGAAATGGAGGTAGATCATCTATCATAGCCATGTTCCTGTATTTGATCACGTGAATAGTCTGGAAGTTGTACTTGTTAATAGCTTACATCTGGCTGTCAATAGCTGTCAATCACATAAACATACGTAACATTGCATTGAATTCGAGGTTTTAAAGGAACACTAACCTCACCTCGTCATTTTCTGAATGAACACATGTGGGTTGACAAAACAGACGCGGACTAACATTGATATGGTATGTCCACCGGTAGCCCGAAAAAAATGATGATTTCACGCACTTCAAGGTGTTTGTGACGTAAGTAAAATGCAATATTGTCATGTTTGATGGTGTCATAGTACGTGATGATGTCACAGTTTATCATAGGGTTGAGTTTGAGGTATTTGAGTTATTGCCGATGTTAATAGACATACCCAGAAGCAAATACTCAACTGCTGAGCTGCAGCAACTCTCAGTAAAGTTTCTCTTCAAAATCTGTACACCATGATAAAATGACACTGAATATAAGGAAATCATTTTTAATCATCATTTCCATTTAATTTTCTATATGTACTTTCTTGTGGAATCCTAATTTACATACAAACTTCCACAATACTGGACTTCATGAACTGCCAGCGTTTATGTACAGGTATGTCACAGCACCAGAACACAAAGAAGATCCAAGATACAGTCTGCACCTGTACACTAGCTGACCCATCTTCCAGAAATAGGAAACATGTGATGCCAAATTTTGGAACAGAGAATCCACAGTTATTCGAACAATTAACTAGCATTGAAATAGAATGTTACACAAAATACAAATGTAGATCTATTGTTTTTTCATCAGAGATGTTTAACTGCTAACTACTAGTGTAAATAAGGTGCAAAGAATATATCCTATGTTCAAAGCCTTCTGTCAATACAATTATTGCTTCTTAATTAAACAATGATAATCTTTGTTTTATTAGATCTGAGACCATATCCTAGAGGACATAACACTGATTTTGATCTATTTCCTTTTCTGAGATACTTACTGGTGTCATAAAAATTATAGTAAAGTTGATTCAAAATTTGGTAAAAGTCATAACAAAGGTTTAGGAAAACAGACATGAAAATGTCCTGAAGCGTTCACCTCCTACAAAACCAGTGTGCAATTTAATAAGAAGCTCATTTTGCAAATAACCATCAACAAACCTTGAACAATTTGTCCAAATCCACCATCTTAATAAACACTAGCTTTGGCTCAGTCTTCAAATAGTAGTAACCTCCTAAAAAACTTATGGTTTATCAGAAGAACTATATCAAATATGGATTAAATATATGTTTCAATCTTTATTCCGTTACATGAAAAGTCACCTGAGATTTTTGTAAGTTATTCTGTTCCAGAACTAGATAATGCCTGACCAGGGTTTGACCAAAAACGTAGCCTTTGCTTTTTCAAATTTTCTGGATGTTGAAATAACTTTAATGAGTTATGATACTAGCAATCACTTTCAGAATTATCTTATTAGTAAATGTAGTATTTAAAAAAAGACATCTAAAAGCAGGAGCCAAGAAACTAAGTTAATACCAAGTGATTGTCCTGCCTTGATATGTATGGTGTTTGTTTGCCTAGTTCTGCCTTAAAATCTAAAAAATCTGATATGTCAATCAATTAAATAATTATTTATTATTGATTTGATTATTAATTTTATTACCCTTCCACGTTTACTAAAAAAAGCAAGATTCTGAAAACATACCTTGATATCATTTCCAGTGAATTAATCAAAATTACAGTTGTAATATTACTCCTAAAATTTACCATTATATGTGAATAATTTATGTGGTAACAAAACTTCAAATAATGTTCTCATAATTAAGATATACACTTTATTTCACTCCGTCCAATACTCCAGAAAGTCACTATTCTTCTCACATAGTTTTCGTATTCGATCAACCTGGAGGAAGGTAATTCAGTTCAAAGTCCCATGCAATTCTTTATAAAAAATCTGAAATATTTAAAGCATGGTTTTATAGGCACTCATATGAACTAATTTTGATACTTGGATATTGCATGATAGGCAACTGCTGACACTGACAATACTTCCGTTTGAATAAAAAATATTACTCCTCGAATATTTTGCTCTGTTAACAAGATACTGTAGGCCTTCAGATTGTGCTTATGAAACTTAAAACATCCTAAAATGTGTGACAAATTGAAGAATATCTAAGAGCGAAGGGGACAATATCCGCCACATTGTTCTTTCATGTAACATGTTTTGCTATTTCGGTTGACCCTAACCGAAATGAAGATTTGTTTACATTGTGTCACGGCTTTCTCGCCTGTCTCTTATGCGCTTTGAGGCGTACCAACTCAATGCCAAGTAGTGACTAAAAACGTTAAGCAAAAACAATTTTGTAGTTACAAGAATTGTCCGTGTTTATAACACTTGCAAAGTCTTAAACTGCTATTTGTTGTCATCAATTGGTAATAATTTTGCACATGTGCAAAAGTGTGCAAATTCGTGCAAATTCTCATCAGCAGGCAGACGTAGGTTTCCTGAACGATGGTGCAGACATTTAACTGATCGTCAGGCCTATCGCGTTTCTTGATCCGCCTCCATTTTTGTTGTCTTGGCCGTAATGGTTTTGTTAAGGTACACATCAAATCGCAGCAATATGTAATAAATATAGCGAGTGTAAATGGCATAATTTGAAGCACATCGCTTCGGATGCATCGTTTGACCCCGGAAATAAGTCTGACAAATCCACACAGCGCGCCTGACCTGCTGATTGGCCAAAATTGACGCATGCGCCAGTTTTGATTGACAGACTGGATCGGTCTATTGGTCCAGTTCTTGATTCCTTCTTTGTTGAGAACAATACGTGAGATGTCATCCACTGTTTATGACGTCACCTATTCAAAGTATTACGTCATACGAACAAAATGTTAACTTCAGTGATGCCCGTCGTGATGGAGATCTTTGAAACCAGCGAATACCGATATGTTAATAACAAATCCTGGAAACATTAATCCCAGCGAACTGGGATTCGAACCGACAGTGAAAGGTGACTGCTTGATCACGGGACGCAACTCTGCATAGCGAATTGCGGTGCCTTAGGTGACTGGTAACTTTCCCTTGGAATGACGTCTGAGAAAACAGAGACACACCGACTGCGAAATATATTTTCTCAACACAGGGGCGACACTGGCACAAAATGTTAGTTTTGTTAGAAGGTATACCGTACATCCATTACACTATGCCATGACGCGATAGGTTTCATCGCTATCTAAAGCTATTCTTGTTTCCTATGGCCAATCCGTCACTAACAGGAAGTGACGTCACAGCTGAGTGAAGTTATTCACTTCCTCCTTCTTTTCGGGCGTGGCATATTCTCGTGGCACAACGATGAAAGACCCATCTTGAACTGGTAACAATTAAAACAACAACATTCAACGAAAAAGATTACAGTGAAAGTTGCATGTTTAAAAATGAGCAACGTTTATTGATAAAATTACTCATGATAATTAATTTCTCATTGCTAAAAGTATTTCTAACAATTATGTATAAATAATAATAACGATGATGAAGATGATGACGACGATGATGATGATGATTTTGACTTACGCAGTGTTTTGACAGCTTCGTCCATCGTAGGTACACCTCTGTAGGGGTTGATGGTCCACTTGTAGAGGACAGGTGCCACAGCCCCTGCAAGTATGGGCCCTGCCCAGTACACCTGCAAATAGATTACATTTGGGTCGGTTAAATTTATCAAATCTACTAAACCATAAGACAGTGTTCGTATAGCATCACAACACGTCTCAAAGAAATGTGAACTTAGCATCGAAATTGTCTGATTGAAACAATGACACAATGGACAGCAAACACCTACTATATACTAACATACTGATGGGAACGAATAGGGGAACACATGAAAGCACAAGTTCTCCGTTATTCTTTTCCAGAATTTCACCCACAGAACAATACAATGCTTGTGAAGAAACCTGGAAAAGAATATAGGAACACTTGTACTTTCAGGTGTTTCCTTATTCGATTCCATGAGTATATAGAACAAGAAACTTGTTCTATACATGAAACTTGTTCTATACATGAAACTTGATCTATGCTTAAAACTTGGTCTATACATGAAGCTTGTTCTGTGCATAAAACTCGTTCTATACATGAAACATATTCTATGCAAGGAACTCGTTCTAGACATGAAACTTGTTCTTTACATGAAACCTGCTCTATGCATTAAACTTGTTCTATACATGAAACTTGTTCTATGCTTGAAACTTGTTCTGTATAAGAAACGTGTTCTATACGATTTATTTTACATTCTCCTAATTAGATATAATACTGAACATCATTTAAAACGCACCACTATAAAAGTTCAGATTATTAGTAGCACGTGTAAGGAATTGATAATTTTTTTAGTGGATAATAACAGATGGACGACTGACAAAAACAACAACACTGAAAAGACGCTCATTCATTGAAATGTTCCACAGTCAGAAAGGATCAAACACACGTGGGGTCAAATCGAAAAGTCAATATCGCGTGTGACCGCCATTTGCATTGACACATGCAGTTCAACGTCTCCTCATTGAGTCAATAAGCGTCCGAATAGAGTTCTTCTACAGTAGTGAAGCCTCAAGTTCCCGGATGTTTCACATCTGTTGTCGCCGCGAAAGACTTTGACCAATTTCGTCCCACAAGTGCTCCACGGGGGATACATCTGGCGACTGTGCTGGCCAGTGATAACCTGGATGTGTTGCTGGGCCAGATACTGCATGGAAAATCTTGTTGTGTGTGCCCGTGCGTTGTCCTGTTGAAAAGTATGGACATCTTGGTGGTGATTGATCTGATTCTGAAGAATCTGCTCACGGTAATAAAGGGCAATAACTCTCCCTTGACAGACATGAAGGCAGTCCTGTGATTGTAATTTATTCCACCCCAGACCATGACACTCCCACAACCCAAAGGTCTGTCTGAACCACACAGTCATCAGCATAACGTTCACCACGTCTACGCCAAACACGTAATCGGCCGTCAGCATTACGTAGATGAAGAAGTGACATGTCAGTGACTACCACACCATGCCATTGTTGTAACCTTTACTGAAAATGCCTGCTTGTCCATTGTATACGCTCATGACGGTCAGTCAGAATAGGTCCAACCCGTAAGGACGTCGAGCATGGAGCCCTGTAGCGTGTAGACGGCGTCGCATGGAGTCAGCGCTGATGACCTCCACGTCAACCTTGAACTAGTGCAGCAGTCCTGGCAGTCGGCAGTGTTCAATCACTGATGTGGACAAGGTCAATATGGCGATCCTGATTGAGCGTCGTAACACGTTGTTGCTAAGGTCATTGAAGGTCACGGGTGCTGCCTGTCTACTGATGTCGTCTATGAAGCCTAACGATGGTGGAGTGGCCAAGTCCAAGTTGTCGAGCAATATCCCTGCTGCTGGTGCCAACCTGAATAATGCCTAGTGCACGTTCCCTTTCGTGAGGTGTTAACCTCGGCATCTCTGTCCTCGTTTCACAATAGTTAGTGAAGCAATGAGAATCGGTTCTCATACACCTGTTTTTAATGTCACAGTCAGTATGATTTCAGAATGAAATTCGCGTTTTTTTCATGGCGTGGCTTCATGTTGATGCATTTTGGAATTAAGAGTCATACTGTGGACAGGAATTTGTTTCTAAAGCATTTTTTCAACTGGACATGCCCTTCGACTTCATGTTAGTTATATTCATTGATCATTGTCATGCTGAAATCCATCTTGATGAAAATATGGACAATTTTAGACTGGTGCGTTTTCAGTGATGTTCAGTATATATAAGGTGCTGTAGTATGGAATGTGCTGTGGGCTGTGATATGGTCTGGGTTGGATACGTGATACAGCATGTGTTGAAGTGTGTGTTGTACATATTGTGTGGATTGTGCTGTGGATTGCCCTGTAGTATGTGCTGTAGTGTGTGCGGTAGTGTGTATTGTATTGTCTGTTATAGTAGTATTTATATCTTAGTAGTTCTATTTTCTTGCAGAATGTGTTGAGGTGTGTGTTTGTTGTAGTCTGTGTTAACTATGTGATTCACATCTGTTGTACTCTGTGTTGTGATCTGTGTTGTACTCTGTGTTGTACTCTGTCTTGTATGTACTGATGTTGTGGCGACTATACCCAGTGATCCTTCCAGAAGTTGGCGGCGACTGCTGGCCCCAGAGACCAGGCGGGGTTCATGCTGGCTCCCGTGTAGGAGATCTGGGGGCAGATTATACCGTACAGTTAGAGGCACCATACCAGCATCCTGTACTATTCATACACATAATGTCATCTACAGTATCATACACTTAACGACATGTCACCTACAGTATCATACACTTAATGTCAGCTACAGTATCATACACTTAACGACATGTCACCTACAGTATCATACACCAACGACATGTCACCTACAGTATCATACACTTAATGTCAGCTACAGTATCTTACACCTTACGACATGACAACTACAGTATCATACACTTAACGACATGTCAGCTACAGTATCATACACTTAACGACATGTCACCTACAGTATCATACACCAACGACATGACAGCTACATTATCATACACTTAATGTCAGCTACAGTATCTTACACCTTACGACATGACAACTACAGTATCATACACTTAACGACATGTCAGCTACAGTATCATACACTTAACGACATGTCAGCTACAGCATCATACACTTAACGACATGTCAGCTACAATATCATACACTTAACGACATGTCACATACAGTATCTTACACTTAACGACATGTCAGCTACAGTATCATACACTTAACGACATGTCACCTACAGTATCATTCACTCAATATGTCACCTACAGTATCATACACTTAACGACATGTCACCTACAGTATCATACACTCAATATGTCACCTACAGTATCATACACTTAACGACATGTCACCTACAGTATCATGTACTTAACGACATGTCACCTACAGTATCATACACATAACGACATGTCACCTACAGTATCATACACTTAACGACATGTCAGCTACAGTTGAACGTTGTTCATTACTTCAATCACTGGTTTTTGGTAGTTCCCTAACGTTGCACTATAATATGCAGTATTCCAGCTATGTGACGGCGGTCTGCCCGTGTCTGGACCAGACAATGCTGTGCCTGTCTAGACATTACCTGCTGTGATTTACGATAATGTAAGTTGATTAGCGTTTACCATATGTGCGTGTATCAAGTCTCAGTCCACTCAACTTACTTAGCCTACTTATGTATCTCGTGAAGGGAACCCAGTCTTCGAGGCAGGATTAGTACAGTGATACTATATCTTATATCGTACTTCATGAAATACCACAGCACGTGTCTGTTACAGTGTTTTACCCGCGTCAGGTTTGCCAGTCAAAGCAAATGCTAAGTGATGTCTATAAGTTTTAGAATTCTAGAAGCAAAACGGCACAGAGGTTAAGGAATAATTCTGTGACTTCTAGCTCTAAGTGCAGTCATCTTTCATGACGTCATGCTTGCGTCTCCCCTTCTCCGAACAAGACAGGGCGATTATTCCTTGGTGTAAGATATAACTTACGGAAAAAAACATCACTGATACTAGATCACAGGACAAGTCAATATCAGATTACATCTAACAAACAAAGAAGCGGAATTAATCGCGTTTTAGTCAAGAACAATGGTCGTGTCTGATTTTGTCATTTTGCCGGATTTCTAACATGTGTCTTTTGATCTTGGTTGGTTGGTTGTTGGTTAACGATGCACTCAGCAGTATTCCGGTTATATGGCGGCGGTTTGTAAAACATCGAGTCTGGACGAGACAATCCAGTGATCAACAGCATGAGCATCGATCTACGCAACTGGAGTACGATGACATGTGTCAACCAAGTCAGCGAGTCTGACCACCCGATCCCGTTAGTCGCCTCTTACGACAATCATGGGTCAAAGTAGATTTATGTATATCTTCGGTTGATCTAAAGATTGAGGTTACTCTCATTGAAATATGTCTATACAGACAAAACTTTGCTCAGAGCATATCTGTCAGTGGTATAACTGTAGTAATGGAAATACCTTACCAGAATTTTAACGGCCACTGTTTATCTTAAATTATTATATAATCCATCAGTCTGTTCTAAATATCTATTATGTCACACAATGATGCATATATCATATTTGGGATTATACGTCGAAGATACGTTTAGAAGGTTGAGCCCCATCCAAGATGCGTATACAAAGTGTACCTTTAAAGAACACTGAACTCGAGAGGGGTTGTGGGTTAAGGTGTTCAATATCAAAGGTCCGAATTTTATTCCCTTTAAAGGCAAATGTGTGAAATCTTTTTTCTGCTCCCCTCCCCTCCCCCCCAAAAAATCTGTGTAAAATGGCGAGGAGTGAAAGCAAACATTCACGCATATTTCTATATATTTCATATTGATCCCGTGAAATAAATATAAAAATGTTTACAACAAATCGCACAAATGAAATGTATGTGGTGGAGTTGTGGTCTGTACATAGAGATTATGTTTTATCACCCAGCTGTTTTACTTTAACATGTTTAAATAATGTCATTTGTATATTTCAGGAAAAACAGTAACTAATACCTATATACTGGATTAATTTCAGATGTATCAGTCATCTTTATTGATTAATAAATAATCAAATCTCTCATTTCAGGCGGCATAAGATATTTAAGCAGTTGTAAATAAAGTAATATTATTAAAGCTATTTTCTTCTGCCTTACCCCCGAGAAGTGCAGCATGCCGACAGTGAGGCCTATTGCCAGGGAGTGACTCCCCATGTTAGGTTTATTAGGGTCAATAGTGGCGTGGATGGTCATGATGAGGGTGAAGGCCAGGAGAAACTCCACCACTGCCCCCTGGAACGGAGTGATCCCGAAGCCTGTGTTGACATACGCAGCGCCCAGGTAGCCTTGGAATTGCTCAGGTGTGACTCTGGAGTGGGAAAGTGAGTTTAGTTTTACGCCGCAAAAGTCCAGCTATATGGCGGCGGTCTGAAAATAATCAGGCTGGACCACACAATCAAGTGATCAAAAGCATGCGCATCGATCTACGCAATTGGGATGTGTGTCAGCCAAGACCACTCGATCCCGTTAGTCGGCTCTTACGACAAGCATGGGTTGCTGAAGATCAATTCTAACCCGGACCTCCACGGATGTGTGACTCTGGAAATAAGGTACTATCTATTTTATGTACACACAATGAAGGAGACTCTGGGTATGTCCTCCAGACACTGTATTGTAATAACGTGTAATAGAAAGTCCCAGAAAGAAGAACTCGTTTTGGAGGGCACAAAATGAAGGTAATTTCCTTATTTTCTCCAAGTGGGAACTACGAATTGGAAAATAACTGTAACTCGCCAATAGTCTATTAAATGCTGGTACACGGCAATGAATACCCTGTACCTAACAATACCTGATGTTTGTTGTTTCTATACCCATCACTGGAAAAGTTGCGTCAGAAAAAATAAATGTTGTTACAGGGGTTCAATTTTTTTTTATAAAAAGCCACTTGCCACAGGGCAAGTGACTTTAAGAAAGTAACTTGTCCTGACTAATTTTCCACTTGCCCTGATTTTATGACATAATTATGATGATGTAATTACGAAAGAAGAAATCAACATGGTATTTATTTGATGTTAATGTTTACTGGACTATTTATTGAAAAGTGATAAATAGCAAAGAAAGATAACTCTTTATTATCATTGCGAAATTTAATAGCTACATTTTGAGCAGATATGAAATTAAATCAAAGTTTATTTGCAGTTTGAAAACATAAGTGGAAATTATCTAGTAGCCCACTGACAAGTAAGATACCATTATTTGATGGCCCGAAATGAAAACTGACTTGTCCCGGGCGTCGGGCGATGGGATTTGTGAACCCCTGATTGTTACGTGTACATGTTGACACCATTGACGGATTGGGATCACAACGGTAACAAGGAACAGCGCAAACACGTCGTTGTTGATTGAAAAAATATTATTAATTTCCAATTCATCGTTCTCATTAGGAGACAAACACACTATTGTATTATAGTACGACTACACAAATGTGTTCGGATAAAGCGCGTTCACACGATACGACTTGTAACAACTTGGCACAACACACTTGTCGTAACGATTTTGAATCACATACAACTAGTTACATCTGAGTTGTAATTCATAGCCCTATTGTGTTACATAATTCCTACTACAAGTCGCAGGCTCTCGGCCAATCAAAGACCCGCGGCCACCCTAGAGTGGCGTCCCTTTGTGCTGCCATCTAACTAGGTCCTTGGAATTGCTCAGGTGTGACTGGAATTACATAGGTATCAAGACGAAACCCAGAGAAGAAATTATACATACGCCTTCAGAATGTATGCGCCGACGATGCTTCCGCCGCACTGAGCAACGATGTACAGCAGTCCCCGGATGAGGGAGATATTCTGGGCCACAACGAAGCTGACGGTGATGGCGGGGTTGACGTGGCCTCCTGACACGTGACCAATCATCTGTATCAACGCCATGATGGCGAGGCCAAAGGTCATAGAAATCTGAAAGACGGTGGGCATAAAGGCAATTTAATCTTTAAGTATACTACAAACAAAAAGTTTGGGAACACCCTAAAATTTGATAGTCATATATAAACTTAAGCGTGGTGAGGTCATTTATACTCTAGGATCAATGCAACTTTTTGTGTGCTTAATGGGCACTTTAAACGACATGTTGGAACACGAAGTGAAGCAACTGATACAATATTCGTTGAGTTTGAGTGAAATGAAATATTGTCAAAAACAGCGACAACCAAGGGTGCTGAAACACACCAGCACCATGCTTGATTCGAACACCCAAACAAACCAACCTAGTGCATGTGGAAGACAGACTGCCCATGCAGCCTGTGGCAACGTTTCCTTTACAAGAAGCTACTGACAGTATTGAAGCCTCACGACGTCTTCACCATGTCACAGCCCAGACCGTTAAGCGCCCACGACAGAAGCAGGGCCATTGCTTGGTTACAGGACGGTGAATCCATAAGAGGTGTTGCTCGCTGTCGTCAGGTGTTTTCCTCTGTCATTCACAGACTGAGGGACAGGTTCCAGGTAGAGTACAGGACAGACTTCGCTCTGGAAGACCCAGAAAAACATCAAGATCAGATGACAGCTATGTTGTGCTCCAAACCCTTCGGAACCGATTCACAACTGCCAGTCCCCAGTTGCCACAAGCTGCATAGGAAATCTGTCTTCCACATGCACGAGGCTGTCGTGTTTGGGTTTTTCAATCAAACATGACGCTGGTGTGTTTCAGCACCCTTGTTTTTCGCTGTTTCTGACAATGTTTCATTTAACTCAACTCAAAGAATATTGAATCAGTTGCTTCACTGCATGTTCCAACATGTCGTTTAAAGTGCACATTAAGCACACAAAAAGTTGCATTGACCTTAGAGTATAAATGACCTCACCACGTTTAAGTTTATACATGACTATCAAAGTTTAGGGTGTTCCCATACTTTTTGTTTGTAGCATACTATCGATATCCTAGGACAAATGTTCAAGGACATTTAATGTATGGACAACAACGTCACTATAATGATGATCACATTGACAGTGTGAAACCGGTGTGAAATTAGATTTGTACCAAGGATCTATAGACTTTTGCGTTGAAAAGTGAAATGCTGGCCGAAAGTCTAACTAAGCCGTTGTTTGCACGTTCATACATGTCTTGGTCCACGTGCTGGTATAGGATAGTCAGGCCTTGACATGCAATTCTTATTGCATTCCATGTCTTTGACTGGAATTACATAGGTATCAAGACGAAACCCAGTGTCAAGACGAAACCCAGTATAGCTCCACTGATGACTCCGTAAGAAACACCACAGTACGACGTATCACTGAGCAACGCGAGAACACGTGTGTGTAATTAACATGAGTAGATTGTTGTGTCATGATATTTATCCCATTCGCTAATACTATTGATAGCGATATGAAAACCAACAGCTTCAAGATACTACAATCGATAATTGTGTAACCAAATTGCGCGTCCCAACTGAATTTATGTTTTTAAATTCAATCAGAATTGTGATAAAACCAGGCAGAGGAAACAAGTACATGAAAGCGACACACCCACTTACATGATCACTACGCCAATAAACAAGCATGTTTGCATGAGCTAGCATCATAACAGTGTTCAGTGTAAATAAGTTTGCTAGTGGAAGCGGCAATAAACTAAACTGACGTACAAAAGAAACTACCCACCTGTTTGGGGGGATTATTTTTTTTTAAATAACGTAAATATTTGGAAACGTGTTTTGATTGTAACTTACAAGTCACAGACACTGTGTACGTGCTGCCAAAATGAAACACCACTGAATCAATTTGGGCTTTTCTACCAACTTAATCTGTGCAACTTCACACCAAACTAAGTCTCTAATCAACCTTACAAATGGCCTTTAAATGTGTTTCTGTCTTGAGGACTGTGAATTGCTGGTTGTAGGATCTATTTACCAATGTTTTCATGTACAGTCAGCGATGCAGAGACGAAAGAACAGCTCATCGACAATACTATATATTCATAGCAAAATGACCGCAAACACAAGAACTCAACAACCCAACACGTTATGCGATGACATATAGAAATGAATGTCGCAGACAATGACCAATAGCAATTATAACACTATATGTTCATGTATTACATGTAGGGGTAACAAACACAGCGAATACATTGGGGAATGTTACACACATTAAACAAATACATCAATACATCAACAAAAGGAAATGCGTTTCGCAATATTTAACGACGCTAGTGACATTTAGCTGTTTGGATCCATGATGTAATTATCTTACTGCACTAACGGTAGTGAACGATATTGCAACATATATACATGGGACTGGCTTCCGGCTGTACAAACAGTACAATCATAGTAAAAACACCACCTTGTAAGAAAAAAAGTTGCATTTTGTTTTGAAAGGTGACGTTTCTTTTGCGGTTCAGTGTAGTTAAATGTTGTTATATGATTAGATTTTGTTAGTTAGCCCCTGTCTATCTCGTTATTTACCATGAAAAGGCAAAGTTATTAATATCGTGTTCCTTTATTCCTAAGACAACCCGACGCGAACTTTGTTCATTCCATTCCACTCTTCATGCAGGGCAGCACAAAAGTTTCCTTCCGTTATGTTGCAGAGACGTCGAGGAAGTCCAAAGCAAACCCTGATTAATCCGAAAATACAACGTTCGCCTTACGATTGGTCCAGCTCTGCCGCTCTTGTCATGAACGACGCCTAGTAGTAATGTGACGGTCCGTCCAATCGTTGGTTAGATAACATGTTGACCTCGGACAGGCAGGGTCCATCTATGTAGCCGATTAAAAATCGGTTTTGTGCGCCAGTTGTCGCCCTTGGTCGACCTGACCGACGTCTGTCATCAACGTTATTTGTCTCTCGATAACGTGATTTTCGTAAATCTTCTGTCTGTCTGTCTGTGATACGTTAGGAGCCCGTACCACAATGCCCAGTCATGTTCCAAATTGCCATATTTCAGCTGCACGTTCCGGACGTAACAGGCGCTGCATGATAACAAAACCCCGTTTAACTGAGCTTAAAGAAATATCAGCAAAAGTTTTAGTCTGTTCTTTCATCACTGAAATTTACAGCATTAAATGGTTCTGTCTCCCGACCACATCATGATAAATGCTTGCACGAAAGTGGCGAGTTTACTCGAAATTCATAATATGTTGTGAATGGAATCATCGTTTTCCAGGCGCGTAGCAAGCCAATTGTTTCGTGTAAGCCCGATAGGTTGCAAAGCTTCATATTTAGATAGTATTTGAGGTATTTTTGGCAAGTTTTAGAAACAAAATAATTTTTAAGCAAAACATCATGTGTAACCACGGGCTTTTTTTAATAATGCTAGCTACACCCCTGTTTTTAAATCTATATACAATCATACAATTTGGTTCCCTAATAATACCATCCCAAAATGCAACACCCCATTCTGTTTAATAGTATACATAGAAACTAGGGGTTACACTGTTACAGGGAATTATATTATGAAAATCTACTTCACAAATGAGTCCAGGGGGCTATAGTATTAGCCTATTGATACAAATGGGTGCAACTATTATATTTTAATACGAACAGTGTCACTCCTATACTTTAACATAGTGCACATGTTATATTTTAATACGGACAGTGTAGCTCCTACATTTTAACATAGTGCAACTATTATATTTTAATATGAACAGTGTAGCTCCTACACTTTAACATAGTGCAACTTTTATATTTTAATACGAACAGTGTAGCTCCTACACTTAAAACATAGTGCACATGTTATATTTTAATACGGACAGTGTAGCTCCTACACTTTAACATAGTGCAACTATTATATCTTAATACGAACAGTGTAGCTCCTACACTTAAACATAGTGCAACTATTATATTTTAATACGGACAGTGTAACTATTACACTTTAACATAGTGCGACTATTATATTTTAATACGGACAGTGTAGCTCCTACACTTTAACATAGTGCAACTATTATATTTTGATACGAACAATGTAACTTAAACACAGGTAGTGTAACGTTTACTTTAACATAGTATAACGCCCTACAGACGTTTTTTACCAGAGACTCCAACACTGTAACATAGAATAACACCACGCACTTTAACATAGTATAACACCACGCACTTTAACACAATCAGTGTAACAATTTAGCATAGTATACCACAGATCGTGTAACCCTTACACTTTTACATAGCGAGCGTAAGTCCTACACTTTACCATAGACAACAAAGCACTAGCCCTAGGATCTGTTTGCCTGTGATTCAGGTCTCTGAGTCAGTACAAACGTTTAGGTCCACGGTAAATGGCTCACTTTCTGATCATTTGTCGCAATAATCCAGCAAAATGCAGGAGATTAACTGTCGTCCTACACCAGTGAAATGCCTATCAATGCTCACTATACAGACACATTGAGACATCTGGCGTCAAGAGTTCGGGAGAAGCCGTTGAATATGCAAATGTGAGCAGGTATTATATCAACATCAATATACAGCAACTCCTGACATGTATGTTTGTATACACCATTCACTATACGGTGAGGGCACACTAGTCATACATACGTTGACAAAACCATTTCTTAACAGTATGACTGCTAGTTCCCAAGTCTACAGAGATGCATAGAAATGACATAGTTGAAAAATGAAAAATCGGGAGTACGATGAGAATGTGTTTCAAATAGTGAAACTCTTATACTTGAATATGGAAAGTGAAACTCCCACAATTTAAAATGTCATAGGTTGTATACTTTAACATAAACGGTGTAACTTCTACACCTTAATGCAGTGTAACGCATACGCTTTAACGTAGTGTACGTTTCTATTCATCAACACAGTGCAACTTATATTTTTACATATTGTAACGTTTAGAAATTGACAGAGTATTGCTTCTATACTTTAATACAGACGGCGTAACTCCTACACTTTAACATAGTGTAACTATTATATATATACTTTAACACAGGCAGTATAACTTATACTTTAACACAGACAGTGTAACTCCTACACCTTAACACAGTGTAACTATTATACATATACTTTAGCACAGACAGTGTAACTCCTACACTTTAACATAGTGTAACTATTATATATATATACTTTAACACAGGCAGTATAACTCCTAGACCTTAACACAGTGTAACTATTATATATACTTTAACACAGACTGTGTAACTCCTACATATCTACATACAGAGAGTATAAGTCCTAAACTTTAAGAGACAAGGAAACTTGTGCACTAGGATCTATCGGAAGTTCGATGAGAATGTGTGTGTTTCGTGTGTTGTGTGTTCAGATGAAGGAACTGACTGATCGACCCAAGCCGGGGAAAGCTGTAATAGTCCAGATGTATGCCGGTGTTAGAGTGCAAGTCCAGTGAGATACCATGCTGCAGTTCAACATGGATACGCCCTCCTATAGTGTATTGTGACTCCGAGTCATTATAACATGTCACAAAAGGTACCATCTTTAACTTCTTTTGGTGCGATGCGTCCGGGACCGAACCACACACCTTCCACAATTAGGGCAGACACTCCATCCACAAGACCCACGTGGGTAAACTGTATGATGCCCATTTCTGATTTCACCGCTGTGATATTGCTGGAATATTGCCCAAGTCACTCACTCAACTCGTTATCGACAAGAACATGGAGGCAGGCTATCATGTCAAATAGTGCTGTGAAATATGTAGCGTTGGACCTCGTAGTCTCCACGGTTAGAATAGGTCCGAAGCAACGTTCGTGCTTGAGGGGACTTAATGAGTCGTTGCTTATGATATTATTCACTGGTTTCTCTGATTCAGATTAGATTTGTTATTGTTACAATAAGTAAATGGCCCTTAGATTAAATCACGCAAATAAGCCAGAAACATGTTTTAAGCTGTTACAGCTGTTGTGTTGTTGTTGTTTACAACAACACAACATCTTTTGCACGGTTGGTAAGTCATGAGAGGAACAAGTTATATGCATGCACATGATATCTCGCTTTCAAATCTGTAGAATAAACATGTGCTTAGTGAAGGGCTAGCTAAGAGGTTAACCCTGAAGTGAACCAGGTTTGATTCTCCTGAGGGGAATATTTGCTAAATCGAAATGAAACAGAATTCACTTTTTGTTGTTTGCCGATATACACTACAAGCCAAAAGAAACGTTACCCTCCTACCTTTATAAATAACTGAGAAACTATGAAAGATATGTTCGAAGGTATTAGTTTACAAGAAAGCTGAACAACACAGCTTTATGCAAATTACGAAATAGATGTCTCAAATGCATTCATATTTAGGTGAAATGCATCTTTTTCAGAAGAGTTACATTGTCCTATTTTCGTCCATGCCGAAATAAATCAATAACAGTGATTTAGACGTTCAAAAGAAAGGTTGAAATAAATTCTGCTTGGAGACGAAGATAAACAATTTAAAGTCACCATTCTTCAAATATTAAAACAAGAAACAACTGTTGTAGAGTGTGTAAAATCGTAAAAACATCATTCCTATGATTTCAGTCTTATAAAACATTTTCTGCTGATTTGCATTAGTGAAAACAAGTAAAACGTGTCTTTGATATTGTGAAAAAATGTTAAGGAACATCTAAAATTATCTTTGTTAACATTTTTGCTTGCAAAATAACATTTTTCCATTTTCTGTTTTCACATAGCAATATCAATCTAATCTGATTCTATAGGGTATGAAGAGAGTCTAGAATACATGATATGATACACAAGTACGAGAAATATGCCACGATTAACAGCTGAAGGGAGAGAAATAGCCATTGGGATGGTACAGATGGGGTCGACGTACAACGCTGTTGCCAACGCCCTCGGATACCACCGTATCACGGGTATAAGACTTATTTAGGGCTTCCGACAGACTGTGGTCACCGTAGACAGACCAAGAAGTGGACGTCTACGCATCACAACGCCAGCTGAAGATAGGTACCTCCATCATTAAGGAAGGAGGGTAACGTTTCTTATGGCGTTTAGTGTATATTGGACACGTACCGCGGCCTTTGCTTTTATCGGAAACTTCATACGATTATACAAAGGATTTAAACCTTCTGTTTTATGATATGATAAGTTCCATTGACTTTCTGAGAAGAGATTTAAAATAGTTCAAATATATAAACTGAAACAAAACATTATGTTCCTTAGACAATAAGATGTCTGGATATTTCCTTTCTAATAAGTACAGTAGTTTGAAACGTGCATGGAAACCGAGATGAAACGCGTCGTACTTTTTCACCCCAATATTCACACGGGTGAGATTTTTTTGTGAACAGCTAAAGGTATTCAGTCCTCAATAACATGTTATTATAATTTTTTACCAATACATTGATATGGAAGGGGATGGGATGGTGTGTGTGTGTGTCTCTCTCTGTGTGTGTGTGTATGTGTCTCTCTCTCTGTGTGTGTGTATGTGTCTCTCTCTCTCTCTTCTCTCTGGTGGTCTCTGGTGTGTGTGTGTGTGTGTGTGTTTTTAGAATAGGGGAGGGGAGTGAGGAGATGGGAGGGGCGGGAAGGAATTGTTACTTCAGCTGTTTGGGATTCCCTGGGAATTCCAGGTTTGAATTGGTCCCGATGTGACTTCAGTGATAGGGTGGTCAGGCACATTTAGCGTGGGTTGTTGTGTGTCCCCGTTGCCCCGCAGTGTGGCACGATGTTCATAGCTAGGATCACCATTTTGTCAACCCCAGACTGAGTGCGGCGTTGAACAACAATCCTTCTGATATTTAACAAGTACACTCTTAAAACGAAAGTAGGGGAAGCTGAACTTTCAATTTGGATAGGAAATATAAACGTTAACAAACTTTTCAAAGACATACCTATTATGAACGCACCACCATTTCTTTTTATCACCACCCCTAAACACAACGCAGGGGATGCACGTGCACAACGCCGTAACCCCATACACGTGCATGGAGCGTCATTCTTGATTTTGACGGTTTTTAAGAAACGGTGCACATGCAAATTTCACGTCATACACCAATCATCTTTCAAGAGCGATCACTGCACAAACAACTATGGTCATAGGGGAGTGCAAGTGGTGATGCACTCTCAAAACATTCATTATTATCATATCAACATTGATTGATCCGATATATATCTCCCAATTCTTTCAGTCGCAAATTAAAAATGAAGTTCCCCTACTTTTTTTTTAGAGTTTATATCCGTGTAATGGCTTCTGTGAGGAACAAATCTAACCATAGCCATATGTGTTTGGCGGTTAATAACGGTACATGTCTTACCGTTATTTTGTTGCCATCAAAGAGCACAGACGCAGATCCAACAAACGTCAGCAACAGCGTGCCCAGGAACTCGGCATAAACTGCCCTCCAGAAACAGGGAGTTTTCACTTCTTTGACATCAAACGTTTTAGCCTTGACACTGGTGCCTAATCTGGTTGAATGGAGTTTGTTTGCAACATGAATGTAATATCCTTCCATTGTCCCTTCTTTAGCTGAAGTTCTATATGTTAGCTTGTTTCACAACCGAGATGACATCTATTCAAGGCTGAAGCACAGCAACGATTTGGACAAACGTTGATTGGCCAGCGACGTATGTCACGTGACCGCTGTGATGATTACAAACTTTCGGTGAAAACTATTTATAAAAAATATAACACATCCTTCTCGGATTTTGCGATGGTTCTTTTTTGTCAACGAATGCTTCAGAAAGTATCGCTTGTCAACATGCAGATGCCTCGCAGATCATTTCACTCTACGCAATGGAGCGTTACTGGTTGTATGAGCGTGTTGCCAGCTTTGGACATCGTGGCCCTTTCACCAATACAGGGCATATGTCTCCAATACAAATAGTATACATTTTAGTCACAGCGAAAACCGAGAAGCTAAAGTGTCGCTGAGGCCTTCTACAGTAAGAATAATAATGTGATAAATTGTGGTAAATATTGACAGGGCGATACGTCTCAAAAGCTTTAATCCTCCATTGAACTTTTAAACCACGGTCTTAGTTTACACGGACGAGGAATACGAGCCAACATGAGCTAATCTTACACTTTAACACAGCCTGTTTAACTTTCACCACCAGAGATAAATACGTTTAAGCTCTGAAAATTAAGTCATATATGTGAACAAAGGACACAATGAATATTTCAAACTGAGTATGTGTGGTGTGTGTGTGTGTCGATTCCCAATAATCAGTATTCTCGTTAGGGTTTCTATGAGGGCCAACAGCAGGTGTTGTGGATTTATTGCATCAAGTGGTCGTATTTCAAACTGTCAACATTTGTTTCCTTGCTGAATGTGTTTAAGGTTAAATAATGACGAGCATTTGGGATAATGGTTTCTCTTGTTTTAACTACACGTGAAGATCCGGGGTAGAACTGACCATTAACCTCGGCTTGTGGAAATAGGCGACTAACGAGGTCTGTTGGAAAGTTTGCCTGGCTTGGCTGCTTCATGCCATAGTCATTCATTTGATTGATGCTCATGACGTCAATCTTGCATTGTCTGTCCCAAACTTGACTATTTACCGCCGTCACACCTCTGGAATATGGCCTAGTGCGACGTTAAACAACAACAACAATAACAACAGCAACAACAACAACAACAACACTAAAAACCAAAAACAAACAATCTTATTTTGATTAAGAATACATTGTATTTTCCTTTCCCTCTGGGTGAACACGCTGCTAAACTGAGTGTGAGTGTTGGTTGAACGGTACGCCCCAGTTACATCACGTGAGTCTCCATTCCTTAAAAATAATATAGTCGAGGCCCAATATGGTTAAGGAAAGTAGATGTACGTGGATATCCCTCTACTTTAATAACATTTGATGTGTATAACAGGTCTTGGTAATTTCCCACACCCTAAAGCAAAGATATGATGCCATTACATCAAAACCATCGCGTCAGAAGCGCACTCTCATTGAGCGTCTTACAACACCAAGCGCCATGCTGTTGTCTGTACCTGCTTATGGTGTACACTATCGCGTCAGAAGCGCACTCTCATTGAGCGTCTTACAACACCAAGCGCCATGCTGTTGTCTGTACCTGCTTATGGTGTACACTATCGCGTCAGAAGCGCACTCTCATTGAGCGTCTTACAACATCAAGCGCCATGCTGTTGTCTGTACCTGCTTATCGTGTACACTATCGCGTCAGAAGCGCACTCTCATTGAGCGTCTTACAACACCAAGCGCCATGCTGTTGTCTGTACCTGCTTATGGTGTACACTATCGCGTCAGAAGCGCACTCTCATTGAGCGTCTTACAACATCAAGCGCCATGCTGTTGTCTGTACCTGCTTATGGTGTACACTATCGCGTCAGAAGCGCACTCTCATTGAGCGTCTTACAACACCAAGCGCCATGCTGTTGTCTGTACCTGCTTATCGTGTACACTATCGCGTCAGAAGCGCACTCTCATTGAGCGTCTTACAACACCAAGCGCCATGCTGTTGTCTGTACCTGCTTATCGTGTACACCATCGCGTCAGAAGCGCACTCTCATTGAGCGTCTTACAACATCAAGCACCATGCTGTTGTCTGTACCTGCTTATCGTGTACACTATCGCGTCAGAAGCGCACTCTCATTGAGCGTCTTACAACATCAAGCGCCATGCTGTTGTCTGTACCTGCTTATCGTGTACACTATCGCGTCAGAAGCGCACTCTCATTGAGCGTCTTACAACACCAAGCGCCATGCTGTTGTCTGTACCTGCTTGTCGTGTACACTATCGCGTCAGAAGCGCACTCTCATTGAGCGTCTTACAACATCAAGCGCCATGCTGTTGTCTGTACCTGCTTGTCGTGCACACTGCATGTAACACGTGCACCGAAACAACTTCTCTTTATTACTTGGAATAACGTATTATTATGAGGTCATACAATCACGTGAGATACGTGCAGATTAATAATGAAGCATACAACTTTATAGACAACAACTTCTTGCTTATGGCATAGAGCGACGTTTCGGTGTTGATTTTTAAACCATTTTCAAGCTAAGAGTGACGACAACTAAGTGATATGAAGTTCATATACATAGCATGTTGTGACAAACGTCAGAATAACGTTAAGAACAGCATGCAGTTGAATAATTGGATGAGGCCAGGTGGAGATTAAGAATAACAAATAGCACGGGCCATGAAGCCAATAAGTAGGAGGGATTAAATAGTATAACAAGCTGACAGGGTGCTTTTATAGCGTCTATAGCTTGATTAGCTCTTCCTAGACCGATGGTCTGAAGATATCTTCCCATAAGACAGACCTCCCAAAAGACAGACCGCTTAAAACAACACATTTTATGGTTGGTTGCATAAGGCTTAATTAAGCTGTACCCTTGATAATAATGGTATGTGCCCAGATAAAAAAAGACAACATTAGGTATTAACTATAGTTTTATCAATTCATGTAATGAATTATGATTTTTGAATTAAGACATATTGCATCAACATATATTTGCCATCACATTTACTTGTGACCAAAAACAATGATTACCATATGTCATTTTTACATCACGTTTGTCAGTGCACAGATAACACTTATGAGAAGTCACTTGAACATCATCATTTTCTACTTTCACCTTGCTCTTGGCATAAAGGTAGCCATCTAGAAGGGTGATCGGAAAAAAGTCATAGGAAAAATAACTATATATTATAAAACATCCTGTTGTCCAGTTATATACTTTGTTTATACTGAATTTTATAAATACTATTCCACTTTCATCTTCAGTAATAAAACCACCATGTTCTCCAGGTATTTGCAAACACTAATTCAACAACTGTTACAAAAACGTCCTTGATCTTGAGAGTTTTCTTTATGAACATGATGTAACTGGCCTCGGAGACACACACACACACACACACACACACACACACACACACACACACACACACACACACACACACACACACACACACACACACACACACACACACACACACACACACACACACACACACACACACACACACACACACACACACACACCTTTGTGATGAAAGTTTGTTAAATGGCCTTTGAGACTCGGGTGAAAATGAAGTGTGCACCCCTCCTTTTCTCAATAGTGTGCACCCCCACCCCTCCTTTCTCAAAAAGCTGCATCCGCCCCTGCGATGGCTTCCAAACGTTTCCTAATCGTGATATCCTGATTGTCAAAATGGATTAGATAAATGGTGAATTTTTGTTTGTGGCTCTGGAGGGCTGATTTGCTCTCTGCCCTGTATGGAATCCTAAGAGGGATTGTCGCGTTGTCGCGCGTTTCAAGGCTTTTTAACACGTCTTATATAGATGGGGCGACAACCCGACATATTTTGACCTTGAAAATTGTCGTTATGTCGCCCTTTGGATGAGTAAAAAAATATCATTCACAGCGACAATGCGACGCTTTGGTTAATTTTGCCTCGTTTTTTCTTGTTTCTGTGAGAGCGACAACGCCCCTTCTAGGATTCCATAGCCTTGGCTGCTGAGGTTTTATGCTCTTCGATTCGGGTATCTACGGCACGGGAGCACGTGGCCATCGTTGTAGTAAAGGATCGTCATGACCTGGAAGACGGAGGTAGACCAATAACGGTGATGACCGAGTCCTGGCAAGACCCATTGAGTAGAAATGTGCCCGCAATGGAGTGTGCGAGTCCGACTCTTCACCAGCACCATCAGGCCTGAGGGAACGTCATCCCATCTGTTCATGGTCTGATGAAAGCTGCTATATTCTACACTTTACCCACTGCAGTTGTTGCGTATGGAGACGTCGTAACGAGGCACATCACCTGGAGATGATCCACGCAGCTGTACCCTTTGGTGGTGGCTCAGCGAGTGTGTGAGGTTGCGGTTCATATCGCTTTAAGTTGGGTCTCATTACAGTATCTACGACTCTCAGTAGTCAACGTTGTCAACAGGAAGTACTGGACACCGCTGACGTGTGACATTTTGATGACCATGCCTTTGCCGGGTTTCGTGGATCACAATGCTTGACCACGCCGTTCTCGAGCCGTCATATCGCATTTGCAGAACAACACCATCGAAACAAGGAGCCCTGCTATGATCCCATCAGACATCTTTGGGATTGCCCCGGCAACCAAGTTCGAACTTCCTGTCCTTCTTGTTCAACATTTGCAGGAATTAACGCAGGCACTCGACGAGGAATGACAGAGGATTCAGATGCTGAGAATTCGAAGTTTGATTGCAAGTATGAGAAGGAGACTGGCAGATGTTATCCGTGTGAGAACCTTTTCTCAGTAACTGATCGGGTGGTTGATGGGACGAAAGACGATGTGACAAGTGCTAACGCTGCTTTCCTCATCTGCCATAAATGGATACAGCTTGAGAGTCCCTCCTCGCTCCATACCACACAACGCTGTTTTCCTTATCGGATACATTCTGCAATATGAGTGTACACAGGAGAATTTCTCCTGGCCTCGCAGCACCTAAAACCTAATGGATGTGACACAATACACCCCAAGCCCCTTGTCGGGTCACTCACTTCAAGTCGTTTTTGTATTTCAGATTTGCTTTCAGGGTAGCTCTCAGTAAGGCTGGGGTAGACGACCTCTAAATATGTCAAGTGATTGGTCATAGATCCATGGCTGTGCATAACTACAAGCATACAACAGAATATCAGAAGGTTGTGAGGAGCGCTATTCAGAGGTCGAATGAGACCGCCTACAGCGGCGTTTGCAGACTTTCTTGACAAACACAATATGAACATTACCATAGATGTGAATGTGCATTAAATGTCAGTGCATGTGTGCCTATGGAAATACTTTTCGCTATTAAAGGATGTTGTTTTCCTAATTTATTCGAATCTAATTCTGATAGTTGGTTGGCTGGTTTGTCGTTTAACTCCGCACTCAGCAATATTCCAGCTATATGGCGGCGGTCTGTAAATAATCGAGTCTGTAGACAATCCAGTGATCAACAGCATGAGCATCTATCTACACATATGGGATACGATGACGTCAACCAACTCAGCGAGCCTGACGACCCGATCCCGTTAGTTGCCTCTTACGACAAGCATGGGTAGCTGAAGACCCATTCTAACACGAAATTTCACGGGTACTCATTCTGATAACCAAAGAGTACTAGAGTGAGTGAGTGACTTAAGTTTTACGCCGCTTTTAGCAATATTCCAGCAATATCGGGGCGGGGGACACCAGAATTGGACTTGGTCTTCAAGCGACGAGCGAACGCTTTAACTACGAGGCTACCCCACCGCCCCCAAGATTTATATACAGTATAGAATCTAGATACTGATATCTGATATCTCTCAAATCAAAGGAATGACGACATAAATTCAATTTAAGTCTGGTTGGAGGAAGGTGTTTATTGATTGAAACATATTTGGTCATTCAAGAAAAGGATTGGGCACAAGTTATCCAACTTAGAAAAGCCCTCTTCCAATAATAGGATTTGTACAACAGAAGTTAACTGAGAAAACGTTTTGGAAGTAATGAAAAACATTCTCACATCCATGGCCACATTGACATAATGCGCCATTTTTTATATTTATTCTAAATAAATCATAAATAAGTGTTCTCATCATATATCTTAATCTTGTAGGCAAAACATTCAACTTCCTTATTCCAAATGAATAATATTTAGGTGCTCATTTTTCTTTCAAGTGGATATAAGATTTAAATAACAGAGTCGCAATTTCTAATAGCTAAGGGAATGTTATTCTACTTTTCACCTGCTGATGGAGTAAAAGATAATATTTTTCTTAACTCATAGCTTGTCCGGTTGCCTACTACTGGTGGGAGTAAATCCTGAAGAAAAACTGGTGTTGTTCTATTTAGTAAGAAGTTTAATTTCTGAAATGTTTTCAATATGATGCCGCCAACTCCCGTTAGACGAGATGGTTAAACCCAAATGTTTATGAAAATCAACTATTTTTACATTGCAGCAATCCAAATTCAAATTAATATATTTTGGACCATCTTTCAAAGTAAATAATATAGCTCCAGTTTTATTCTTGTGTTTTTATTTGGACTATTCCATTATAATGTGTAGGTGACAGGTAGTAGCTAATCTATTCATTGAACCGTAAATGTTGTTGTTTTAAGGCGTCTGCGAACTGCCTGTCTGCGTAATGGGAGGATACCAGACTAGCACATTGTCACTTCGCTAAATAAGCCTAAATACTTTTAACAGACCATCACCCGACACAAAAATCTTGAACAGGCTAAACTATTTTGTCTGACGCCCATTTTGGCATCCCCACACTGATAGTGCAGAAATGTTGTTCAAAACGGTGTAAACCCAAATCACACGCAAACAATCGAAAGATTGCTTCGTTTCGTACTTGCTGGCTGGTTGATGAGCATATGAATCGATGGACACCAAGTCTTTGTTACACTCGTAAGGTTAACTTTTAAATGTTTGATATTTATATTAATAATGTAAATTGCTGTTGTCAATCTTAATGTTACCATTGTGTTTTAATGTTGGCAATGAAATATTTTATGGCTGTTGAATTTTCCAGAGCTCTTATGTAAACCAAATTTCCCCCCGTGGATAATAAAGTCTTGTCTTACCTTAAGCTTTAATTTCTTTGAGCCTTTTCCCTTGGTCTCTAACATCACATTTGTTTGCTATTTAATTACGCTAATGAAACAGTCAACCCGAATGAGATACTTAGAATGTGTTTGTACACCAGTTGTAATGGGATAGTCGTTGAAAGGATACATTTGTGCAGCGTTTCGTGACGTCTATGCATTGTTTTGTGGCTATACCAGGATTTAGTTGCACGAAGTCAGCTTAAACTAGGTTATGTCATCGTTAAACCTAAAATTGCCTCCATTACACATCATATCCCTCCAATAAGGATGGAATGGGAAGCCCGTATCTTTCGTTTATTGGCTACCTAGCTTCGTATATTGGCGACTTTATCAAATACTGGCGCCCTATTACTGACCCGGTCCTAACGCTGAATCAAAACAGTAATACCCCCCATTACTGAAATACAGAAACAATTATCATCCATTTATTTCTTGTCAAATGTCACTTTAGCATCATTACGTTCCACAACGAAGTGTACAGTTTTAGCACTGGAACTGCAGCAGTATAACGGGCGGGGGACACAACGCATGGGCTTTACACATTGTGCCTTTGCGGGGAATCGAACCCGCGCCGCAGGCACTATAACCACTAGGTTACCTCACTTATTAATTACGTCTATGGGCGGTGAGGTAGCCTAGTGGTTAAAGTGCCTGTGGCGCGGGTTCGATTCCTCAGTCATCACAACCCACTGGCCTGCAGTCAAGTTGTACATACATTGCATACAGGCTGCACTGTAGTCGTCGTGGTTTTTTTTAAACAAACTATTGTTTTAAAAGATATGAATTTCATTTTTTTTCAATTTTAAGTAATCACCATATTATTCACTCACCTCAATGACATGTACTTTTGGTCAAGTCTATATAGACAACGGCCCATTCAAATAAAAAGCGGTTTCAAGCAATTTTCTCCGGGGTGTCATCCCGGACTCCCGCAATGCATCCTCCTCCTGTGGTGTTATGACTTTAGCTTTCCTAGCCTTCTACGGATGCCGGTGATTACAGACTGTGCCAGTGATTACATGTTAGCGTCTAAAATGGTTCTTAAACCCCTAAAGGCAAAGTCGGTGGTTAGGTTAACATCTCGACCACTTTGGCGCAAGAATCTCTCGTCGAAATAAGAATCTCGTGAACCATGTTGCCCTTGTTGACCTCCCTTTTGGTTCCTTACCCGTGAAGGTCCGGGTAAGAATATTGGCCTTCAGTAACCCATGCTTGTTGTAAGAGGCGACTAACGTGATCGGGTGGTCAGGCTCGCTGACTTGGTTGACAAATGTCATCGGTTCCCAATTACGCAGATCGATGCTCATGCTGTTGATCACTGGATTGTCAAGTCCAGACGCGATTATTTACAGACCGCCGCCATATAGCTGGAATATTTCTTAGTGCGGCGTAAAACTAAACTCACTCACTCCTTTGGTTTCTTACTGCTGTGACAAACACTCAGCGTCCTATTCAGATCTTCATCAGAAATACTTAATAATCTGCTGCCTAACTGGGATTCAAACCCATCCCGTTCACGTTGCCAGGAATCGAAAACCCGCACTGCCCACTGCTTTTCTTTTCTGTATTTTTATTTTTTGCGAGATTTTCCAAGCTTTGATATTCAGAAACTGAGAGAGGGTTGCCAAAACGTTTGGTTGTTGTTTGTTCACTTTCTTTTTCTATCTGCTGAGAAGCAAGCATCAGTTCATCATCTGCTGAACTATTCATTTGGTCAAATTCCCGTTCTAGGTTTTGCGACTCACGCAGGAATTCCTCATCCGAAGAACTATTCCCAACTGTATCTACATGATTTCTGTCTCCTTGCAGAGTGATATCAAAATTGACACTCGAAATACTTCCAATCAATTGGGGGCGGTGGGGTAGCCTAATGGTTAAAGCGTTGGCTCGTCACGCCGAAGACCCGGGTTCGAATCCCCACATGGGTGCAATGTGTGAAGCCCATTTTCTGGTGTCCCCCGCCGTGATGTTGCTGGAATATTGCTAAAAGCGGCGTAAAACCAAACTCAGTCAGTCAGTCCAATCAATTGCTTCGGAAAATGTATTAACTTTGAGTGACAAAGACATCGCATTAAGAACCCCATTCGCCTGACATGATTGAAAACATCTGGTGAAATGGATGCAGTAAAATATTTCGTTTGTTTTGTATCCCTCCAACACGCTTCCACGTACACAGTAGAGCGTGTTCATAGCGTGTGTATCGTGCATACCGTGCTACCCAGATGTAGGACGCCAATATTGATATTGCTGTGTTCGGGTGCAAGAGTTACGAAACTAGGGCGCCAATATGTATGATTTTAGGTTTAAGCGCAATAAACTCCTCAGACTCAGCCATATTCGCGCGGCTGGGTGGGTCCTCGGCCTAACGGCCTCGGACTCAACCAGCCGCGCGAATATTGGCGAGTCTTCGGAGTTTATTCCTTACATATTCTTCACAGCACAATACTTATCTTACCTTCATGACCTGAGTAGACTATTTGTTTCACCTTTGTTCTATTTGGGATCAGATTAGTCAAGGGGGTGTTTTTTGTTACAAGAGCAGCTTCGAGAGGTGAGTTTTGTGGCAAAGGCGATCATTTATCGTACCCGATAAGGAAAAGTTAGTTCTAAAAGAAGCACCTAAAATGAGAAATTATGGAAGCGGACATAAAATATTAACTCTTCTCGTGTATGATGCTATTTTATGGAATCCTGGAAGGGACATTGTCGCGTTGTCGCATTGTCGCGTTGTCGCCCTCTCAAACACAAGCAAAATTAAACAAAACGCGACACGCGACATCGCGACAACGCGACATTTCGCCCATTTGTCGCATTGTCGCGATGTCGCGTGTCGCGTTTTGAATAATATATGTTTTCATTCCTCCAAAGGGGACGCGACATAGCGACACATTTCAGGTCAAACTATGTCGCGTTGTCGCGCGTCGCCCTATGTAAGATGTGTAAAACAGCCTAAAAATTTACTAACGAACGCGACAATGCGACAACGCGACATTTTGATGAAATGTCGCGTTGTCGCATTGTCGCGTGACGCGCTTTGTTAAAATATTGAGTATAGTATGTATTATAACATATGACTAAAACGCGACACGCGACAATGCGACATATCATATGTCGCATTGTCGCGTGTCGCGTTTTCGATTACCGGTGCGCATTTGTAGAAAGTCAATTAGTCTACGCATGCGCGAACAATGTTATACTCTATTTCAGACTTCACTGGTCTTTGTTTTACCTCAATGGTTTTACAATGAAGTAGTGCTCGTAATGGCAATGGGGCTTTTTCTTGAACTTAATGGAAATCTTTCATTGTTGCTTTATCATTTTATATATTGTAACTGTGTTTAGCCAATCAAGTGTGTTTTAGCAGCAAGACAAATTATTAGCGCTACTATTCATTGTAATCACGGCACACGGTGGCCCTGTCATTCAAGGCGAGGCAATTTGCTATGCAGGGTTGTGTCTCTTAGTCACACTAAATAACTATGATCATAGGTTCTAATCCCAGCACCATACACATTCATCACTTTGAACATTTCACCCATATCAAGCTCACAGGTTGTGAAAAAACTCAAATATTGTTAAAATTCAGGCCACATCGGCATAAACATCAGGTGAAGTCCTCCAATGGGTCACTATGTTCGACAGTGTGGCTCCTGACAGAGTTTCTTGGTACAGTCCTGTCCGACGCTGATGAATTTGTCCGACATCTGCCTCATTTCAACCAGCAGTGGATGGATACCAGGTAGAATGAGATGGTAATATCACTTAACCATCCAGCACCTCAAAGACAGTTTAGGTCGGCTTTGAACGTGATATTCTTCTTGGGAAAACGCCATACAAATGGACTGTTATCATTATGATATATTAGAAACGATGAAATCGCTTAGCAAAGTTGCGTACCCTTGGAGTGGCAGAAAGCAACTCTCCCTCTCTCACTCTTCTCAGTCCGCTCCGCTCCACTCCACTGCGCTCCGCTCCGCCCCACTCCTCTCTTCTCCACCCCGCTCCTCTCCGCTCCGCTCCTCTCCTCTCCACTCCTCTCCTCTCCTCTCCTCTCCTCTCCTCTCCACTACTCTCCTCTCCTCTCCACTCCGCTCCACTCCACTCCACTTTCACTCCTCACTCACTCACTCACTCAAGGTTTATGGAACTTGGTAAGTTAGCAAGATATTTCATTACAATAATGTGTTGTGATGTCTGTTTTTCAATTCTATTTGAATCCTATATTATTTATAATAATAATAATATACCAAGCGATACACATGTACTTGTATCGTTTCAAACATACACCTACTCAATCATAATAATGTTCAGCAAAATGGCCAGTTTCAACACATCCATTCCATTAACCAAGAACTCTTAACCCACAGACTTCACGGCCACATTTATTATTACTCTGAGTTCGATCCCTGTGTACCTTAGCCCTTTAAAAACATCTAAACATAATCATCCTTGTAATAGTTTTGAAATTCCGTTGCAGTAACTAATAAAACGCGACGCGCGACAATGCGACAACGCGACATTTTGATGAAATGTCCCGTTGTCGCATTGTCGCGTAAATCGCGTTTTAGTAAATACGTTATAATACATACTATACTCAATATTTTAACAAAACGCGACACGCGACAATGCGACAACGCGACATTTCATCAAAATGTCGCGTTGTCGCATTGTCGCGTGTCGCGTTTTATTAGTTACCGCGGATTCTATAAACTATCACAAGCATGATTACTTTTCGATGTTTGGAGTGGATTGGAGTGGAGTGGAGCGGAGCGGAGTGGAGTGGAGTGGAGTGGAATGAGTGAGTGAGTCGAGCGGGGAGTGGAGTGAGTGAGCGGAGCGGAGCGGAGTGAGTGAATGAGTGAGTGAGTCGAGCGGGGAGTGGAGTGAGTGAGTGGGTAGAGGGGAGCGGAGCGGAATGAGTGAGTGAGAGAAGTGAGTCAGTGAGCGGAGTGGAGCGGAGCGGAGCGAAGCGGAGTGGAGTGGAGTGGAATGAGTGAGTGAGAGAAGTGAGTCAGTGAGCGGAGGGGAGCGGAGCGGAGCGGAGTGGAGTGGAATGAGTGAGTGAGTGGAGCGGAGTGGAGTGGAATGAGTGAGTGAGTGAGTGAGTGGAGCGAAGTGGAGTAGAGTAGAGTGGAGTGGAGATGAGAGTAGTGGAGAGGAGCGGGGTGGAGTGAGTGAGTGGGTGGAGCGGGGAGTGGAATGGAGGGAGGGAGGGAGCGAGCGAGCGAGTGTTGATTTCTGGCGCTCCAAGGGTACGCAACTCTGCCAAGCGATTTGCCCGCTTTTAAAATCATAATGATAACATTCCATTTGTATGGCGTTTTCCCAAGAAGAATATCACGTTCAAAGTCGACCAAAACTGTATTTGAGGTGCAGGATGGTTAAGAGATATTACCATCTCATTCTACCTGGTATCCATCCACTGCTGGCTGAACAAGTTCATCAGCGTCGGACAGGACTGTACCAAGAATCTCTCTGAGGAGCCACACTGTGGAACATAGTGACCCATTCGTGGACATCACTTGATGTTTCTGCCGATGTGGCCTGAATTTTAACAATATTTGAGTGTTTTCACAACTTGTGAGCTTGATATGGGTGAAATGTCCAAAGTGATGAGTATGTATGGTACTGGGATTAGAACCTATGATCATAGTTATTTAGTGTGACTAAGAGACACAACTCTGCACAGCAAATTGCCCCGCCTTGAATGACAGAGCCACCGTGTGCCGTGATTACAATGAATAGTAGCGCTAATAATTTGTCTTGCTGCTAAAACACACTTGATTGGCCAAATACATTTACAATATATACAATAATTTTCAAAGCAACAATGAAAGATTCCCATTAAGTTCAAGAAAAGCAGCCCCCATTATCATTACGCGTACTTCTTCATTGTAAAAACCATTGGAGGTAACAAAAGACCACTGAAGTGTGAAATAGAGTATAACATTTCCTGCGCATGCGTAGACTAATTGACTTTCTACAAATGCGCACCGGTAATCGAAAATGGCGAAAACGCGACACGCGACAATGCGACATATAATATGTCGCATTGTCGCGTGTCGCGTTTTATGAATTTTAGCTTCTTTTTACACATCTTAGATA